TGGGTCGGGCTTCTGGGAGCTGCTCTACACTCAGGTAGGCTGGGCTCGGCGTTTAGGGGAGTGAACCCCGTGGGTGCACCCCCTCTGCTAGTGTGGAGCCCCCAGACTCCCTCGGAGGGGGGCGAAGCCCCGCTCGCAGGAGGGCAGCGGCTGTGCCGGGATGGGGGCTCCTCCTGATAACCTCTCTCTGCTCTCCCCAGCGCAAAGATGGGGTGCTTCACCTTTATCAAGGTCATGATGATCCTCTTCAACCTGGCCATATTTGTAAGTGCACCCCAGCTGCTGTTTCTGCCTGGCAGCCCCCCTCGGCTGCCCTGGGAAGCTGGGATGAAGGGCCGGGGTCTGTGGGAGCACCTCCTGGGGAGCACCCTGAGCTGGGCATGGGGTGGGCGAAGCCTGCCTCTGTGGGCTGAGGACTTAACCTTGTGGGGCTCTCTCGTTCTCCAGCTCTGGCCAAAGCCCAGGGGACCGTGCTGGGCTCTGGGGACAGTGGCTGTTGCATCAGGCACCCATGTCTCCCTGTGCTGCAGCTCTGGTGGAGGGTGCTGGGTGCCTCAGAGCAGGGGGGGTTTGGGGGACTCTGTCTCTGCAGGGGAGCAGCCCATGTGCATGGCAGCGACCTGTGGTGTTGGGGGTCTTGGATGTCGGAGGTCTCCAGAGCACACACAGCCTCTGCCTCTACCTGGGGCAAGGGGTAGTGGAGCTCCTGAGAGCTACCCTGGCTCTGGAGGGCAAGCGGAGCCGCTTGGAAGGGGGTGCGGTGGGATGTAGCCTTGGGAAGGGAGGTGCAGAGCACCCAGGCTCGCCCTGCCGAAGCACTCCCTCCTTAAAACTCCTACTGGGACTTGGGGCTGGTGGGGAAGGTCGAGTGGGTGGAGGGCAGGGCTGGGGCAAGCTGGAGGCAGCCCCGAGCTGCCCTTGCCAGGAGTGTGTGAGCGTCTGGAGCCGGGGACTGCTCAGCTGCTTGCCCGCATGAGCGAGCAGCCTCCCTGGCTGGAGGTACTCGTGATGGTGGCCAGCATCTGAGCCGGCTGCATGTTGCCCCTCTGGGGTCAGGGGGGTGGCCCGTGGTGCAGCTGGCTCGGCTGCCCTGCACAAAGGTTACTGCCCCACTGCCGGCACCAAAACCCCTTGGGCTGGGGAAGGGGGCAGCTGTGATGCCGCAGCCAGGGATGTGCTGGTGGTGGGGTGTGTTTCGGGGTAGTGACCCATGTGGCCGCTCCAAGCCTGCAGTGGCCACAAAGTCTTGCTTTGGCATGGGGAAAACTTGCGGTGGGGAGAAATATCCATGCCAGCACCTTCCCCAAAGCCCAGATCTCTGCCTGCGCAGGAGCTGACCTTGTCTCTCTCCTCCCAGCTTGGTGGCGGGACCCTCCTGGGAGTTGGCATCTGGGTCACAGTAGATGGACAGTCATTCCTGGATATATTTGGGACGATATCCTCTAGCATCATGCAGGTCGTAAATGTGAGCTACTTCCTCATCGTCATTGGTTCCATCCTGCTGGTGATTGGCTTCCTTGGGTGCTATGGTGCCCAGAAGGAGAGCAAGTGTCTCCTGATGATGGTATGGACCTCACTTATCTCCTTAGCAAGCCTCATTTTAGCTGGGTCTCTGGTGGGGGTGGTCTGAGGGATAGATTTCTTTGTGGAGATGTCCTCCTTGGATGTTCCCTTGTGGTAGAAGGCTGGGTGGACCTTGGAAAGGCAGTGCTGGAACCAAAGTCACTCCAGGCAAGGGTGAATTTGGAAGGAGAAGCTGGTGCTGAGCAGAGGTCTCTCTTGGAGCATATCTGGAGAGGTCAGCCCCCTGCAGATGGAGGGTTGGAGGACCCCAAGGTTGTGCTGCTTCTGCCTTGGAGCAGAGCTGAAGGCAATGAGACAGGGCTTGAGCCCTGAGGGAGGGTCCTGCTGGCCCTTGGGAAACAGAGGGGTTCCTGGGGGCCATGTGGACTCTGGCTGTTGTTTTGACCTCCCTCCCCTTGCTGTATCCTAGTTCTTCTCGGTGGTGCTGATCATCTTCATTGCTGAAGTTGCTGCTGCCGTGGTGGCTCTGGTCTACACAGGTCTTGTGAGTGGCATATCTAAGTCTCAGGCCGGGCTAATCTGGGACCTGTCCTACCCCTTGGGAAAACAGGAGACACTGGGGCTGGCAGTACTGCCCATGGATGGGGAAGCTGAGAGGTGGGCACTGCTGCAGGAGGAAGGGATGTGGGCAGGCTGGGGCGGCCTGGCCAGGGTGAGGGTGATGGGAACAGGGGTTCCCATTGCCTTAAAGAAATGAGGGTTATGGTACAAGTTCTGCCTGCTTCTTTCAAACCCCTTAGTCCAGTACCAGCCTAGGCTTGACACCTCTCCACCTCTGCTGGTAGGAGCCACACAGGAGAGGAAGTCCCTAATGCTTCATGCTGAGCAAACTCAACCCCTTATTAGGCACCTGAGAAACCACCTGGGGAGAAAGGTGACTTTGCCTCATTAGGCACTGGAGAAGTCAACCGCAGGGCAAACATCATTCCTGGCTCCCTTGCTTATGCTGCTTATCAGATGACTCACTGGTCATAATTGGCCTCGGTGCCATAAAGCACTGGTTAGTGGGGAAGGGGCCAAGCTGTCCTCGGGCCAAAGGGATGTGGTGTGACATGCTCCTGGCCATGCTGGGTGTGGTTGGTCTCCTCCCCATGGGCTGAGACCAGTCTGGGGGCTCTTGGCTCTGTGGTGCTCCCCAGGACCTTGTCTGATGGTGTTTCTCTGCCTCTTCTTCCAGGCAGAGACGCTGCTGACGGCCGTGGTGACCCCTCTCCTGAAGGAGAAGTACGGGAAAGATAAGAGTCTCACGCACATCTGGAATGTCACCATGACGGAGGTGCGCTGAGCCCTGGGGTCCTCACCTGCGGGTCAGGATGGTCCCAGCTCAGGCTTGGTGGTTCACACCCGGGTGGGCCAGCACAATAGGAATGGGGACACCATCACAACCCTGGATGTGCTGAGCTGTTGTTACCCCATCAGGTTCCCAGGTGCCTGGGACTACCTGCTTGGCATCTAGTGGTCCTGTGGCTGGTGTGAGAGCTGTACATGCTGGTGTGTGGGGCAAAATCCTGGTCCCAAGAAAGCCATTGAGCACCTCCCAGAGCTGGGTTGAGCTGGGTGACACCCTCCATGGGGCAGTGGGGTCCAGATCATGTCTGACCCAGGAAGGAGACCTGCAGGATGCTCTCCCCATCCCTTCCTCTCTCCCTCTTAGATCCATTGCTGTGGCTTAAATAACTACACAGACTTCACCAGCTCCCCCTGGCTTGAGGAACACGGAACCTACCCGGAGTCCTGCTGTAATTTCGAGCAGCCCTGCAATGAGACGCTCGCTGAAAAAAGCGAAGTCCAGGTACGGACACACCAGCAGCTCTTCTCTTCTGGCAGAGCCTGGTTTGGGGTGTGCCCTGGCACGGGGAGGGAGACCTGTCCTGTAGCTCCAGCCCCAGCTCTGGACATGGCTTTAAGTCTTGGGGCATGCTGTGGTGGCCTTTGCTTGTCCCTGGCAGAGACAAGCAAAGCTGCTGCCATTGCTCTGGTCCTAAAGGGAGCTCTGCAGCAGGGTGGCATGCTTGGAGCTGAGCATGAACCCAGGCACCACTCTGCCTTTTTGGGCAATTTCCCTGCCTCTTCCCCTCCTCCCCCTGCCAATACTGTACTTTGGCCTGAGAAGTGGCTGTGATGAGTTGCCTCCTGAAGCCCCCAGACCTCCTCCATGGCTGTGCAGCTCTAGGCTGGAGAACTGCACCTCCCTTTCTGGGGATGTTGTGCCCCTGTGGCTGGGGGATTGCTACCCCTTGCTCGTCCTCACCTGGGTGGTTGCCTCCTGCAGGGTTGTTTCCATCAGATCTTGGAAGAAATCAAGACTAATGCAGGTGTGGTGGGTGGCGTGGCAGCCGGCATCGCTGTCTTGGAGGTGAGTGCCTGAGCCATAGCTATGCTGCCTCCTCCTCCTTGTACCTGGAGGTGAGCAGCGGGGCTGGGACTGGCCTGAGTGGCCAAGGGGCTGCAGGGTGCTGGTGCAGCCCCGTGGACCACTATCTGCCCCGGGGTGGCTACTGAGCCTTCTTCCCTGGGCATACCTGCTTCTTCCTCCTTGTGTGCACTGGGGATGGATGCTGTGGGCTGTGACTCAAACCCACGCTGGAGTGGGACACTTACGGGGGCTGACTTGCATCTTGCCTCCCACAGATCGCATCCATGGCAGTTTCCATGTACCTGTACTGCAAGCTGGATGAGAAATGACCCCACGAGGCAGGAAGATGATCTGCCCCCCCACCATGCCGGGGTGCGCCTGTGGCGTGCCGTGCTCTTGGGGGGATCCCATTGCTCCCTGGGCCTGATGCTGTCCTGTGCACTATGATTTATAGCTGTGTTTTGATCTACTGAGCTGGGATCTGTAGAGTTTATGTGTATATTTTTGTACTGATATGGCACACTGAGTCTGTACATAGAGATTTGGGGGGGGGTTTTTGAAGGGGGGTGGCAGGGGGGAAGCTGCTTGGTCTGTTTGGCTGATGCCAGCAGGAGATAAGGGTGGCACAGGGGCCTATCAGGGCTGCTGATCTGGCAGTGGCACAGTGATGTCTTGATTAAACCCTTGCAGGCATGTACTGTACCTCTCCCACGCTGTCCCCACTGTGTTCCTATGCAGGGGCTGGCAGGGCAGGGGCTGGCACTGGGGCTGGCTTGTGCCCCCCTGCATCCCTCCATTGAACTGGGGCTGGTCCCCTGCCAACGTGTTGTAGGTGGTAACTACGTCCTCACAGGGGCATGTGTCTACCCCTACACCCATTTTCTGCCAGCCTTGACCCTGTCACCCTGTTGTCCCCTAAAAGAGGTGCTGGCTGGTCTCTGTCCCTGCCCTGGCATGAAGACAGCCCTGTCTCTCCCTGGCCCTGCAGTGGCTGGGGCTGCCCCGTACCCCCTGTCATTTCATGGCTGAGCCCTTCTCCACGCTGTAAAGAAAAACAAATAAATTTTTCAAATTGTTTTCTGGAGTCGATCTTGGTGCTGCCTTTAATAACTAGCCTCTGCCTGGGGGAGCGCAGCAGGGTGGCGGGCTGCCTTGCCTTTCCCCCCCTGGTCACAAGCCCCATGCAGGCAGCACAGCCCTGCCTGCAGCCTGCCTGCCCTCCCTCCGCTGCGGCTCCTTACCTGCTGGGGTGCTTGGAAACGAGCAGCCCAGTGTTTGCACAGCAGCCAGGGAGTAGCGGGGGTTACCATTAGCCTTGCAAACCTGCCCTGCCCTCCGCAACAGCCACTGCTTGCTCAGCAACATCGGTTCACTGACTGAGCAACAGCTTGGGTTGAAAGGCAGGGCTGGCTCTGGGGGTGGTTTGTACTGGTGCCCGTGTCCCCATCAGTCCCAGGAACCTGAAATGGGGTGCTTGGGGTGGTGGTGGGGAGCAGGTCCTGCCAGCTCCATCTCCGACCATCTCCATCCCCCAGCATTGTCCCGTACCGCCCAGGTGATGCACCCACAGTCCCTCTATGTGTGGGGATGGGGGGCGGTCACAGGCAGGTTGGGGGGTTTCCAGCCACCCTCTTTCCCCAGCATCGTTCCCTCCCTGCCTTTGGCACCACCCCACCTTGAGCATCCGCTTGCTGTGCCCCAGTTTCCCCATTTCAAAAGTGAGGCCAAGGCAGGTGGTTTGGGGGGGCCGGGGTGTTGTCAAGGGCTACTTCACCCCATTTTTGCCATGAGGCTCCCCACCTCCCCATTTATGGGGCAGAGCGCGAGGGCTGTGGGGCGGCGGTGGTGAAGGACGGGGCGATTAGCAGCGGGGCAGGAGGCCAGTGTGCAAACAGCCTTCCCACGCGCCGCCTTGCTCTGTGCCTGCCATGGCACCCCCTTATCAGCTCCTGCACTGGGTACAGGGCTGCACCGGGGCACCACCACGGCCCCTCAGGGTCCGGCACCTCCCTGGCTCCATCCAGCACCCCGCACACTGACGGGAGCAGCCAGGTGGCAGTGGGACGGGTGTAGGGACTCGCTCCGCAGCTGGGGTGACTCAGCCCCGGGGATGTGGGTTCTGGCCCTGCCCCATGGTGCAGCGTAGGGTGAAGCTGCCGGAAAATAGCCTCTTCTTCCTCCTCCTCCCTGGACAGGTGAAGGTCCCCGTTCCACCATAAACGAGTGACCTCATGACTGACGTCACGGCTTTTATTCCTCTTTTTTCCAAGCAAGCAGGAGCTGCCTGGGCCTTGGTGCTGCCCAAAGCCCTTCCTGGAGGTGTCCGAGCCAGGCACTGCTGGGCACACCAGGCCTGGTCATGGCTCCCTCTGCTCCCTCTTTTTGGGGCTGTCTTACAAAGCCGGCTCCTGGCAAACACCCTCTCACCACCACCCCCATGGGGTGGAGCGGGCTCGGGGGTGATGCCCGGCCAGCCGGAGGCTCCCAGCTTCGCACCCCTTCCCGGCCACAGGGTTTCTCTGGCACAGGGCAGGCAGTTTCTGTGGCGCTGAGTTTCAGCAATTACCCTGCAACCACCGGCTCGGTTCCTCCCCTGGGGAAACTCGACTGACCAGTTTCTCCTCCCAGATGCGATTCCTCCCCATTGCCCTTCCCGGCTTCCGGCTCCCCTGGCAGCCGAAGGGCAGCAGCGGGGCAGCGGGGGGTAAGGCAGGCTGCTGCAGCCTCCCCTGTGCTCCCACTGTGCCCCTGCCCTTCGCTTCCCACCGTCAAAGCCCCGTCGGAGCTTTTGGGCTCCCCGGAGGAGACCCCATCCCGGCTGGTCCCCCAGCAGCCACCGGGACGCGCCACCCAGCCCCACCAACCCATGTGGGTGCCACCAGGCATCTCTGCAGCTTGTAACCCTTAGACTTGCCTGATTCCCCCAGACTGGCACCCCGGGGTGCCTGGCAGCACCCCAAAAGATGACAGTTGTGCCATCAGAGTGGGAGGCCAAAAAGGCCCTGGGAGCATGTAGTAACAGAAAACAGAAACTTCCTTATTGCCCCTGGGAAGGCATCCTTGGTCCCGAGGTGCCCAAGCAGCTGACATGACGGGGGGTGTGTGTTGGGGTGGGGGTTCCTCTTTTCCACTCGTGACACAGGGTGGGGGAGAGCAGGAGGGTAAAGTCTCCCCGGCAGGGACTGCCGCCTGCCAGAGCCCGGGTCACTGCTCCCTCCAGCCACGCACCCTCTGGTGCTCCCTGGTCCGTGGCTTGTGCCCTGCTCCACTCCCCCGTGGGCAATAACCCCCTGCATGGGTGCCGACCAGCCAGCGTGGGCAGAAATCCTCTGGGATGGGCAGTGCTGGCAGGAGCAAAGGGAAGGGTGGCTGAGCCCGGGGGCAGACTTTACTTTTCTCTTGGGTCAGGTTTGCCCCCCTCCTGGCTGGGGAGGTGATGAGGATGGCGGGAAGAGACCCGGTTGTGTGGGGGGATGCTGGGCCACAGAGCCGAGGTCACTGTCAGGGCCAGGCTCAGCAAACGGGCAGCGTTTGGTGCCTGTGCTCTGGGGTTTGCTCTGTACAGGGAAACAGGGGTGCACGCTGACCCCCGCCCACCCGGAGCCCCTGGGAGCGGTGTGGCATCTCTGGCCCCATCCCGTCTCCTGAGGCCCCACAAGCCTCCATGCAATGGGGACTGCGCTGATGTCATGGTATTTCCCTCTTCTGCAGCAGCCGTGGACCTTCTCCCTGTGGGAAACAGCCACTTTCAGAGCCCACGCGGGGAATTTCCCCCTGCTTGGGGAGCGGGGTGGCTCAAGGTGGAATGGCTCCCTCGGCGGCAATAAGGAAGGGGCTGGTCTGTGGGCTGCGTGGGGTGGTGTGGATCCCGCCCTCTGGCAGCCTCCTGCCAGGTGGTGTGTTTAGCAACCCCATGGGCACAGGGTGGGGAAAATGAGGGTCTGGAGCCCCCAGTCATATGGGGAAGGCAGATAGCTGAAAAGCTGCCTTTCACCCCTGGCAGCCCCATGGGGTGCTGGCTCATGTGTTGCCCTGCCATGATGCGTGCCACGCACGGGCCAAAGTCCCCAGAGATTTGCAGGGCGTTTGCCACTGGCATCATCCCGGGGCACAACAGGCGAAACCCTGCGTGGCAGAGGGGTGTGTGCTGGCAGGGAGCGGGCCGTGCTTTAGGAAACGAGCTGCCCCCTCCCTCCTGGGAATTAGCTTTGGTGGGGGACAGGGTCCTCATGAGTGGGAGGAGGAATCACAGCTCTTTGGGTTTGTGCTGATAAAGGGAGAGAATGGGACGCAAAAGCAAACTCATCTGGCGTCAGCTGCCCAAGGAATGCCTGCTGCAGGGGATTTTCCCCTGCCTGCCATAGCAGCCTGGCCAGAACGTTCCGGGATTGGGGAGGAGAGGACGTCCTCGAAGGGCATGGGCTGGCCTGGGGGAAGAAGTGAAGCAATGCACCCTTTCCCCAGCACAGCCTTCCTCCCTGGCTCCCCTTCTCCTCCTCCTCCTCCCTGCCCCAGAGATAAACCATCCTGTGTGCCCACCCAGCCCCAAGGGTGCTTTCTGGGCAGCTCCCTGCCCCAGTTATTTGTCGGGATATCAGAGGAGGCGATGGAAAGGCTATTTAAAAGGCAGCAGGCAGGAGCTGACATTGAACCTGGGGCGTTAATCATTAACGCTGTGCCAGGCAGGACACAACATAATAACCATCACGACAACAATCCCGGGTACGCAGTTGAAGATTAATTCGCCACCGGGCTTTGTTAGATCCGGGCGGAGGAGGTGGCAGCCCTGCACAGGGAGGCGCAGCAGGGGACAGGGACAGGGATGGGCTGGGCGCAGGGGAGGGACCCCCCGCAGCCGGGACCAAGGGGAGAAGCCAAGCAGAGCCCCTTCCTGGGAGCAGTTTGGGCACCTCGGTGTTGCAGGGCTCTTTATAAAGCAGAGGGTGCTGAAAATTGCGGATCAGCTCCCTGAGCTGGGATGCAGGTGGCTTGGGCACAGCGTCACTGCCTCCCTCCCATGCAGGGATGGGGATGGGGCCAGCACGCCCGAGGCACTGGCATCCCTCCGGAGTTGAGATTCCTTCATTCGAGAGGACCGTGTCTGTTATCCCGGAGGACGGCGGCTGGAGGGTGCTTTCCTCCATCTGTGGGGCACAGAGGGAATGATGTGCCACAGGAAGGATCAGCCTGGACTTTGTCCCTCACATCCTAGCCCATCATCGGAGCGCGGGGACTTCCTGCTCCGCCAGCATGGAGATCCCTGCCAAACAAACATAATGCATAAAAATAACCACCACCACAAATGATGCAAAATTGCTCTTCCCCTCCGCGCTCTGGAAAGGTCAAGTTTCATGCCAAGGCTATTTTGCTTTTGTTTAATTATCAGCCAGCTCCTGGGACGTAGAGCAGCCCGGACAGGTTCTCCTTTGTACGGCTGCACAAAGCCAGGGAGGCCGGGCTGCGGGGGGGCTGCGCGGGGCTGGGCGAGACCTGGGAACCGGCAACTTGGGCAGCACATGCTAAAGCTGGTGTCGCACGGGGCTGAGCCGTGGGAGCCTGCAGGTTGGGCTTCCCAGGGAGGGCAGGCAATGGGCCAGTTGACCAGCCAGCTCCTGGACACCCAGGGATGTGCCAGCACCTCTGGGCTGAGCTGGGAAGTGAGCGGGACCCTGAGAAAGGGCAGGATGGGGAGCGACATGGCTGCCCTAACAAGCTCCCCAGGACTGAGCTCCTTCAGACAATGAACCTCCACATCACCATCAGGCAGCGGGGAATGAGCTGGAGCTCTCCATCAGCCTGGCACAGGTGCTCCCCTTTGAGGGGATTAACCTGCTTTTAGCATCATCCCTCCATTTCAGGAGGGGATGCTCCTATAAACGCAGCGGTTTGCGAACACCAGTCCCTCGAGGTGGGCAAGATGTGGCGGGTCTCAAACCTGAGCCCACATCACCTTGCGGGGCTCTGCTCACAGGCATCAGTCCCAGCGGCCAGTTCCTTCCTTCGCCCACGGTGCCCTGGCAGGGGCTCAGCGCCGCAGGGTTTGGCCTCGATGGGAGGCGGATGCGGATGGGGAGGCTGCCAGAAGGTGAGATCCTCCTCTGGCACTGCCAAACAAAGATCCTGGAGCTGGGGGAAAAGCCTCTGGCAAGGGGGTGCCCCCCAAAAGCTGTGCCTGGCCCAGGGAGAGGGTGGGAGTCACCAAGGAAGAAGCCCAGCCTGGCTGCAGGGAGTGGGCAGGGGAGCAGGAGGCAGCTGGTACGGGATGCAGGTCATGACCAGTCCGTGCCGGTGGCCAACACCCTCCTGTCGCAGTTTCGTTTGGGTCCTGTAGTCTCTGGCCCAGAAATGGGTGTACCTCCAGCCCTCTCAGAGCTCCCTGCCCCATGGGAGCAGAAATTTGGAGAGGTCTCTTGGGCCTCCTGCAAAAGGCACCCACATGGGCCTGGCTCGGAGGCTCTGCGGCTATTTTTTCTCACTGCAGGTCCAAGCCGGCTCCTTGCTTGGCTTTGCTTCACCCCTGCCTGCACCCACCCCCGTGGGGAGGAGCGAAGGCTGCTGTGCTGCAGAGGTGGGTTTGCTGGAGGTCCCTCCTGCAGCCCCTGCCTTTGCTTTGCCATGCCCGGCCACAACCAGGCAGGGGCTGAACTGCTCATCCCGTTGTGGCTGGTTGATGGCAGGGGCCTGATCCCCTCCACCTACGATGTCCCTTCCTTCTGTTGTAACCTTGGGCAGGCAGTCCTTATTCCAGGACCCCATTTCCCTCAAAGGAAAGAAACCCAAATCCCCCAGAGAGGCCCGAAATGCAGCCCAGCCCTGTGGGGCTCAGACTGCCGGATGGCAGGGTGCAAGCGCTGGGGCTCGCTGCTCCCCACCCCAGGACAAGGAGCCACTTCACCCTGCTGACCCCCAAGGGGACACCAAGCTGGGAGCAGAGGGCCACAGGTCTGTACTTCTCAGAGGACGGCAGCTGGAGGCGCCCGGGGGAGCACAGGGCCTGGTTATGCCAAGCAAGAGTTCCCCAAGCAGCTGGTCAGAGTTTCCGTCGGTTGAACTGAACTGAAGATAAATGTGATAAAGCTCGAGGAGGAAACAGCTCACCAACCTGCACCAGCCGCTCCGGCACCGCATGGCACGGCACAGCATGGAGGACCTCTGCTGGCATGGGAACCACAGGGCAAGGGCCCAGGGCCACTGTTAGCCCACAGCTAGCCCTGCAGTGCACAGGACAGAGACACCACAGAAGTCAGGGGTCTGTCCTTTCCAGGCAGGTGGCCAGAGCTGGGGACCCCAGCCCTCAGTCATGCACGAGGCTAGCCACGAAACACATGAGGCTCAATAGCTTTGCAATGTTTACTCTTGAAAAAATAATCCGATTCAGAGAGCGGCAAGCCCTGGGGATGCGCACGCACCCAGCCCTACCATGGCTGCCACGGGAGGAACGGGGAGGGTTGGAGAACAGCATCCAGCAGGCCCATCGCGGTGTGTGGAGAGGAGGGAGCTTGAAGCCCACCAGTCAAGTCCTGCTCTTGCTGAGAGCAGGGAGCCACAGCCCCTTGGTCACTGCCGGGCAGGCAGCAGAGAGGGGAACTCGTCTTTAGCCATTCCCTAGCCATAGGACCACCTTCCCCAGCCCAAGGAGGAGCTAGGAAGAAGGCAAGCCTAAGCCCTGCCAGAGAAGGAGGTAAAGGGGGCGCATTTAGTTTCAGGGAGAAGGGAAACAGGGCCTTGGGAACAGAGATGCCAAGGAAAGGGCATCACAGTGGAGAGTTGTGTAAGTTTTTCCACAGCAGGGTAGGGGGAGAGCAGCTTTTCCCAGGGAAGAAGCTGAATCCCTTTCTCATTGAGCTGAAAGGAACTGCTTTACCCCCAAGGACCAGTGCAGAGGCCACCTGCCCACTGGCTGCCAGAGCAGAGTCTCAGCAAAGGGCAGTGCTGGGGGTGGCAGAGGAGGGCAGGGTTGAACCCATGCCCGGTACCACAGTCTCAAAGGTGCCACCCTGCACCCTCTTGTTTCCCTTCTGGGTCCGTGCTGTCCCTGCTCCTGGGACAGGGTGTGTAAAGGACCACAAGGGTCAGAGTCCCTGCGACCACGCTAGAGCTGCTCTGTGTCCACACAGGACTCATTTTGGCCAAAGAGGAGCAGATTTCCCAGGTTCACAACTATTCATTCCTACACTGGGCAAGGGAGAAAGGAGGGGAACAGGGGATGGAGCCAGGGGGACAAGGGACAAAGCTCCCACGGCTGCTCCCATGTAGGCTGGGGGCTGCCAGCTCTCCACGCTGCTTTCCTGCTATCCTCCCCTTCCCACAAGCAATAAATAAATAAGTTAGTGTAGTGTAGACCCCGATGCTCAGTTCACAGTGAGAAAATGAAGGGGAAGAGCTCCTGCGACCACAGGGAAATGGCTGAGCAGCAAATCCTCCTCCCAAGGGCAAGCCAGAGCATAGCATCCCTGCTCAAGGCTGGGGGACCTGGGCAGAGAACTGATCTCTCGCTGCATGAATGAAACAGGGAGGTGCACTGAGCAAGGGGACCAGGACTGCCCCCAGGCGGGGGGGCAACGGACATTAGTACCAAATGGCTGGGGGTGGGAGGGGTCCCTGGGGTCCTTCCTAAGGCACAGGAGGGGGGACAGGGACCCCCTTCCTCTCCATGAGGGGTGTACCACAGCAGGAGAGCCAGGCTGCCCATCCTGGCTCAGCTCACAGCTTCCCTGCTAGCAACGTACCACGGTAAGGGTGGGGATTCAGGAGGACAAATCCCCTCTGTTTTCAGCAAGAGCTGCGGGTACCTGGCCAGGAAGGAGGGAAAGACAGGGTACAGTACCACAGGCAAGGACCACACCAGAGCGCAGCATCTCTCACTCCAGAGGACCCTGGTCCATCCTGTCCCTGCAGCCGGGGGTATGCCCGCTTGCTGCTCCCATCTCACTCTGCAAGGCACTTTCACCCCCTCTCCCAGGACTCGGGATGCAGGGCTGCTCCCCACAGAGAAGGTGGGTGAGGACAATCTGAGCCGCAGCACACAGCCTGGTCCACTTCCATCTACAGTCATCTCCAGCTGCCAGAAGGGCAGGGAAAGGAAAGGGGCACCTGACCTCTCTCGTGCTGGGTATAGGGTGTCCCCTACGTGTCCGCAGCAAGTCAGCTCCTCTTCAGCATTCCCTTTTGCCTATGAACTGGGCTGCACCAGTCGCTGCAGCCCAAGAAGCGAAGCCGGCATGCAGGGAGATGTCCAACCCAGCATACAGTCTTCAAGGTGCCTCCATTGTGCAGGAGATAGAAGAGATGCTGGAAGATCCCCTCTTCACCACCATGTTCACCACTGGGCACGGAGCCAGCCAGGCAAGAGTTAATAAATAACACCCAGCTGGTAGGCTGCAGCACTTGCACATGAGCATGCTGCCTTCTCAGGACTCCAGGGCCAAAAAGGAAAGCAGAGGTGTTTCTTGAGGCCCCCCCTCTAGCCCTCAGTTGAGCACCTCCTTCCTCCAACCTTGCCCAGCCAGGGGGCAACAGAAGTAGCGTTAGTAAAGGGTCTGTGTTAAAAAAAAAAAAAAAAAAAAAAGTCCCGGGGAGGGGAAGGCCCCTGCCC